GTTACTCTTCCTTCTGATCTATTTGTGACAGAAATGTGTTTCTTCTGAAGTCAGATTTTAGATCAAGACTGCACAAACAATGGTTTATCCCAGCCTATCACTTACCATTTTACATTTAATAATCAAGATTTTAACGTACAAAGTGTTACACTATGACTATGTCCAGTGTATAAATCATTATACATGTAATTAGCATGTATGCATGATAAGCAATGGTGTCCAATATATTAGAAGAGATCTTAAAGTTCCTTTAAGGTGGGATGGCATTGAAGACCTATTTTGGAAAATTACAAATTTTGGCTGAAAACAATGGACTGCGTGAGTTTTGCGTATGGGAAAATAACATGGGATATGTTGTTTTCAACTTTATGGCATTTTAATACCATTCTGACTTTTGACAAAGTGCAGAAAATAAATTTCATATGGTTGAAATGAGAAAATAAACAATGATTTTTCAGACAGGTGGGTTGATAATTTTAGCATCCTGAATACTGGTTACATGACTTACTTAAAGAAAACATATTATTTTTATAAATAATGATAAATTCATGATTAGAATAAAGGCATACGATACCATACCTAGTATTTCATTGAATTAATAGACTTGAAACACTTGTATTTGAATTGTGTATAGGCTTTATTTTATTTTGGCCTGATGAGGCAGACATCAATCAGTATTAATTGATGGAAACAGAAGACACATAAATTGTATAAAATGCGTACAAGCAGTAAGTTTTTGCTTCAGCGTCGTCTCATCTGAACTTTCTTTAAGAAATGCTAAGAAATTGGGATTTGTTCAGCGCTTTTAAAAATCTTGGTTCTGACTGAAACACCGGGGTAAGCATTATTGAAGTCAAGGATTTCTTCATAAATCTTTGCATAAAATAACATGAACAAAACCAAAATATTTTACTATTTTAGAGTTCTGTCAATGGGGGCCTTGGATGCCTTATGGATCATGTAATAGAGATACATGCCAGCAGGAAATGAGAAGGGATCGGCGGTATTATGTCGATAGTTTGGGAGGTTCAACTATTTGTCCAGGACCTTCTATAAAAACAGAATTTTGTTACGATCCAGGGGCCAGGAAAAAAAGAAGACCAATGTGTCCAAGCAGCCCATGGCCACGTTCAGATGAGCTACAATAACTATTATAATGGAACAAACATTTGAACTTGCAGTGCATTTACAGGTTCTGACACACTGATTCCAGTAAACATGCACCCAACTTAACAAAAACTATTTCGTGAAATCACTTATGATTATGAACATTTCGAGACAGAATAAATAATGAGGCGATAGTGTTGTCTACTTTTGGCATAATCTACATCCATGATGTGAGTTGACACCTGATATTACAAATTCCTTCTGAGTAGAAGTTTGATCAATAGAAATTCTTTTACAGAATTTTTTTTAGAAACCTTCTCATTATTCTCTAACATAGTTCTGTTCATATTTATATTTATGGGTTTTGAGTCAATCTGAACATTGCAAGTTCTTACAAAAGTGTTATATTAACAAACACTGATGCCCCACACAGATGTTCAATAAAAGACACAGAGTGACCAGTATCGCACCCTTGAATAGAATAGACAGCTTTCGGGATGGGAAATCCATAATGGCCTCCTTAACATTAACCCAGAATGCCCAAAACTAATCAGTTCCAAACATCCCTGAAAATTTCAAATGAATCACTGATTTGGCTGGAAACCTGTACACAAGGCTCAACAGACAAGATTTTAGGACAGAAAATCCAAAATGGCCGCCTTAACATTTACCTAGAATGCCGAAAACCTAATCAGTTCTAAACTTTTGTATGTAGCAACATCTCTGGAATTGACTGGAATCCTGAAGACAATATTAATGGGACGCCAGCCCACCCAACAATCCGGCAAACTGATAACAATATACCACCAAAGGGTGCGATAAAAACATTTAAGATTACACATGTTACAGCAGTATGTTATAACTTCTTGGTGTTACTTTTTACTTTTCTAAGAAGTATTCACATCTTCGATGCATTCCTGAACTTCTATTGATCAAAGTGATCTTTTGTGGACAGATATGACTTCGCAACTTGGTAATTGATACTCTTATTATTTTATATTAAAATAAATTAATTACACCAAAACTAATTGTTATGTTCTCTCCAATTAGCAACTGAGTGGATCAAGGGAATACACATATGATATAGTGTAAAAGGGCAGGATAGTTCAAATAAAACAAATATTTATGATTTGTTTATCATTTTATTTCCAGTGAATAACTGTCAAAACTACTTTCAAAAGTTTCAAGCAGTTTCAAAAATTCTACAATGGAAAAACACTTATTACTGAAAGGTAACCGCTTAAAACTCAAAGTTGTAGTATATATCATCTTGCAATGTGAGTTAGAAGAATTCTTGAAGATTGTACAGCTCTTAGCTTCACACCTCTTGAGCAGTTTTCTTAATCAAACTGTCCCATATGTTTCAATGATCATATACATGCATTTTTAAGCTTACTTCATTATATGATACAGCAACATATGTCATTATCAACGACACACTCAGAGTACTACACTTTCCTAGCTAGGTGTTCACAAAATATGCATGTTTGTGATACAAACTAGTGCCAACCAATAGCACATAGTCTTAGCAATTAGTCGTTTATAGCCATGCCTCTCTATCGTTTCAAAAAACATACCCACGAGGAAAGTCTAAATGCCTGTATACAACCTACCGCCGAGTAAGACACGCTTATACCGCCAATCCAATGCTTGGTAAACTGGAAAATGTACAGTAAAGGTAATATTAGGCCACTATCAATTCCTTTGGATGGTTAGAATCGTTACTAAGATGTTCAGGCGGAATTGGCCCAGTAGTTGAAATATGTTTTTATGTCCAAATTAAGAGATAAGTAAAACGTATGATGGTTTTCGATTTTTTTTTCTTATTCGTACTCGCTTTAATTGATAACGAGTCATACATAAGACATACCTGGGCCAGTAAATGTATGTAATATGCGTATTATATTAAGTGTCAAATTATTAGTTCAAAATAGCACTTTTGAACCGCAAAATCTTCACATAAACGCTGTCCTAAAAGATCGGATGTTATCGGACATCGGACTCGATGTGATCGATGAGTAATATTATAAAGATCCGAAAATATCTTGAGTAAAGGATCTCAGAATCCGAACATTAAAGTAAAATCTGTTGAGATCCGATGATATCGTCGAGTTTATGACGTGCTGATGATGAAATGGTGTTAGGGCTACCAAGATGATATTTGGGAGACATATCACACTGGTGAGGTGAACATGGAGATCAATGTGACAAAGATAATGGAAACATTAAGAATAAAAAGCATCTCTGTCATGAACGTCACCACTGTATTAGATACAAAAGAAAAATCCAATCACTGCCATATGGGTCCTGGACATGGGTAATGCTACATGAATATCGATGTTACATATTCATGTAGATGGTTATAACATGAATGAAAGCCATATAGGTGATGTTAAAGCGGATATCAATGTCACATGGGTGACATCGTAATAAAACGTTAATTTGTTCAAAGTTGCACTATTAAGGTGATGTTAGTCACATGGATGTAGGAACTCTTGGGTTAAAGTCACTTTTCATTTCTACGCTTCATTAACACTTACTATAAAAAAGCAATGCTATCTATGAACTATAATAGCTTGGTATGATAAATAATACAAGGTGTCTCAAAAATGTACCCAAAAGTAAATTAACGGCACAGTAAAACCAATCAATATTTTCAGATATTTTGCAAGGTCATGTTGCTGGAGCTTGTAAGTTTCCTCACCAAAAACAAAGTTTTTAGTTCAGTCTTGCCTTTTTGATGATTTAACCCAAGAGGAGGGAAAACTCCATGATTCAATTGATGACATACGATTTCCTCCTTCGCGCACCTCCTTTCCCGGAAGTACGTATATTTATACTTCCCTCCATCTTGGTTTTTAAAGTTTTCAAATTGACCTAGTTTTAAACCAATAAACGATCGACTCGCTAAACAAATAAGCGACGATGTCATCTCAATACAGATTTACATTATAAGCGTATGTCATCTTTGAACCCTGGGGTTTCTCCCCCTCTTATTTAACCCTTTACTTTTTACTTCATATTTCGATGACAGCCTGTATCCTTGTGCTACATTTTTCATCATATTTGATAATGTTTCAGGGGGAACGTTTTGAATTTTCTTTGTATAAAAACCTCCTACCTCATACCCACCTACCCACGTACGTTGGACATGATACAGTCTTTGAATGGTTCAATTTTAAAGATCTTTATTAAATCTTAGTTTGTGGTGAATTATAGATGCATTTGTAACGACCCTTGATAGCAAGTTGCTACTACAGCCCAGTTGGGTTCGATCCCCACTCGGCTTGTTGGTCGTTAGTTAGTTATTCCCCTTGGGCGCCCTCGGGTCATTGCACATTACAATGAGCCCATATGCCTTTATTTATGCATCTGTCATCCGTCTAGTCATAAAATACAGCCGGAATTGTAGAAATGTTAATAATTAGAGCTATTCTAAGATTTAAAAATCTTTAAATTTGAACCCTTCAATGACTGTATCATGTCCCACGTAGGTGGGAAGGTGGGTATGAGGTAGGAGGTATTTTATACGAAGTTCATTCAGATTAATAAATATTAATGAAAGCCGTGGTATTGGGTTTAACTTGTTGAACTAGATGCTATCATGATCCATAACATGTCAGGTAAACAACTAAGCCAGTCTTTATAATGAAAATGTCAACTGGGCCCAGCTCCGGCATTTCAGTGATTCAAAGCGGATTGACTGACTATAGTGTCAATTCAAGACCCATGCGCAATAGTTTGGGATATTAATAAATGCATTCATACATAAATCAATCAAATATCACAAGGTAGTTAAATGCAAATAAACACGTAGCAATAAAGCAATATGTGCTTGGTTCCGCGTGACATGATGATGTAAATATAAACAACAAACAGACTAGACTATTATAATATCACTTGGTATTTCATAACAGATCTAGAAAGGCCGGAATGGGTGAGTTAACTACGATTTTTTAAAATAGCAAAAATAATAGAGTGCAAATCGCCCTATGAGAATAAAAATCTCCCATCTCACATTTTTGTGAAACTGAGAAATCAATTTTTGAAAGTTTAGGCATCTGTAACTACAATACTATCTATCTGTCATTTGTGAAATTTTTACATTCTTCTTATCAGAATTCATGAATTCTAAGATTTTCTTAAAAGGGGAGATAGGACAATTCAATTCCGATCTTTTCGTAACATAGATTAATGTTGAGCTATGCCCATTTTGCGATATAATATTTTCAATGGACACAAATTTCTCCATTCATTTTTTTCAAAAATAAATTCAAATCTCAGTTTAAAATTGTAATATAATAATTCTGAGTCACATGGTGTAATTGTAGGTGCTATTGTAGGTAGCATAGAATATTCCTCCCTACTTTTGATTTATATCATTTAAATGTTGCCACTTTTGTTGATAAGAGTTTCCTCAATACATATCTTTTTCAAGATTATTTCAAAACAGCACTTTACACAACCATAAAACGAGAACAAGAAACAACTTAGTTCGACCCAAGTTCCATTCAAAACTGGTTGGGACTCTCAACTTCATAGTACCTTTTTAACAAATTGCCTAAATGCGCCAATCCAATCTGCCATGCAGGTCATCGTGAGATATCACAGCCTTCTCTTAGCTTCCTTCTAGACATTCTTGTGCATGGCAGAGATATCGATGGTCTGAGTATCAGAGTGCATACAGCATTTAACGTGACCAACAGAGAGCGAACATGAGCATGAATTAGTTGACATCAATTGATGTTATCCAATGCGTACATCAGAGAGTATACGTCGATAAACCCACAATCTCATTATCTTGCATTATTTTGCAATTATGTTCTATGGTATGTGTATCAACTGTTTTAATCATTTCAACTGTTTCAACCACAGGACATGAATTGTTTCAATGCTAGCATCATTTCCTCCACCAGGTACCATTTGCATTCGTTCGACTTCGCTTCTTAAAAGAGAGCTTCGTCTTTAGTTTATGACTAGAATCTGCGCACAGGGTATCCATTAGGCACAAATCCTTCGTACACGATCCAATGATGTTCCTGATCATTTTAACCTTTTCAATCGTTTCGCATGACAGAACAAAAACCAAAACCAAGAATCCCCGCTTCATCGATGTTCTTACAGAAACATTTTCACTAATATTGCAAAACTAAATGCGAATTTAAACTTTAATAATCTGACCTTATCATCAGAGGTGAACATGCTCCCAGTGGTGCTCTTGCTCCTTCTGATTGCCAACACGTGTAAGTCCGATTGGATATGTGACATCACGACACGGCTGATAGACACCTCAATGTCATACAAAACTAGACGATGTGAAATCACGATACGTGACTTAAGTAGAGTCAAAGCAGATTTAATTCGTTTTAGAAGAACACAGGCCTTCGTAAGCAGTTCATTAAATAAGAAAACAATAGATAACCTTTTTAAAAAATTCAAGATGATAAACAAGCAAATGAAAATGTACGTGAAAATGGATCTACCACGTATAAAGGCGAAATTCAGAGAATTGCCTCAAACGCATGAGGCGAGAATTCAGGGCGATGTCGTAATGCAACTTGTTGATGCGTACTTTAAGCTCAATCCATGTAGTACGCAAACATTGCAAGAGAAACAGGATGATATCGATGCTATTAGATTAGCCAGTGAGAATTGGAAACAGGCGATTAGAAATGGATTGAATGACCCGAATGTTAAAAACACTCTAATTAACCTCAATAAATTAAAAGAAAAATTTGACAAAAATTTGGCAAAAATAGCTGGAACCTTTCCTAAAATTGAATCCCTTTTCGAAATGTTAATAAAAATGGCGAATCATATTCGAAATGAATTCCCATGCAACATCGAGACAACTGAAGTTCCAGTCACAACTAGTAAACCAAAAACAACAAAGGAGGCTACACCCAAAACTGGTATGTTGAAAACAATATGAATAAAGAAGTTTTTGTTGTTACACTGCACTTTGATTCAATGGATTCATGATTTACATATAGTTGAGGTGATGTTAACAATATACGGTTAAAAAACAATGTAAAGGCCCGGTCACACCACCCGGACGTTGCTGGAGCGTTCCTTGAACGTTGAAAAAATTCATCAACGCTCGTCAACGCGCACAAAATGGGGAAAAAACAAAAACACGGGCGTTGGCTTAGCGGTGCACCGCTGAAGCCGGCGTTGCTTTAGCGTTGGTTAAGCGGTTGCGAGCGGTAGCTAGCGTTTGTTTAGCGGTAATGCGAGCGTTGGTATAGCGGCGTTCTGCGCATGAGAGCGTTGCCTCGGCGGGGATATAAATAGCAGCAGCGTTGGTTTAGCAGCATATCGCGTTTGACTACTGGGAAATTATTTCAAGTGGGAAGTGTTTAAGGGTAAAGACCTTTATTGGAATTTGTAACTTTAACAAAAGTCCTTCAAGGATTAAAGAAGAAATGTTTTAAATCTAAGGTGCTTTTATTAATGTAATATGACATTAAGAATGAATAACATTACAATTTTCTTTAATAATCTCTCATATCATTTCAAACAAACATATCACAATTTATGCCTAGGTCACATAGCCGCCGGGCGCCGGCCGATGAGTAGTCATCGGCCGATTTCTAAATCGACCGGGCGCCGGTGACTTTTCACCGATGTCTTGATCTAATCGTGAGTATGGTCACATTAGTATAGGCATCGTACGGCGCCCGCAATCAATTGAATCTGAAAGACATCGCACGGGTATCGCAAGGCTATCTGCCGATGGCCGTACGGCACCCGCCAGGACATCGGTCGATCTACAGGCCTCTAGATTTATACTAAATTCTTGTATGACCCAGAACATGGACCATGCCCAGAATGACTGTTCCACATGGCGTGAATGCAAGATTTGAAAACGAAATACTTCGATAGACAGGACTTCCAGGATAATAATGTTTTCATGCAATAAAAATCACAAAAAGAAGGTCCTCTTTTGAGTAAATAGGTTTAATATTTAGAAAAAATGCTGACATGGGGTCCCTATTCATAATATTTCAAATTGTTTGATTGATATTTTTACTATCATGGGTACTTCAATTGAAAGAAAACATATTGTTTTAATAAAAACACTGTATTTACTATTAATGCCCAGAAAGTACTCATGTTGAAAGATATGACCGTCTAAAATCATTTGCCATACTGCACGTGGTATTTTCATCAAAGTGCACCCTGACCTTAATTCATTTTTAGATCTTTCATATAAACAAATACTATGTCTAACTGTCCACCCGATGCTATTAGCAAAATTCCATGTTTCTGCATCTTTCTTTTGTCTGTTCTCGTTAAGAGAATTTGTTTGGTCACAAAAATATGGCCTCTACTCTTCAAAGAACTTGGCAATTTTTTCTTCTATTTCAAGTGGAGTACCCTCTTCCCTCGACACATCTAAATCTTCATCATCCATTAGCTCACTAGCATTGTTATTTTCTTTTTCCACCTGTCTTCCCAAGGCCTTCCTCATATATGGCCCATTGGCCTTATCTCCATTATCCTTAGTCTTTGGCATATTAACTGTGATTGAGACAGTGAACTTTCGTATTAAAATTGTGACCCTTGAAAATACTGTACTCACAAAAACATTCAGAAGATAAATAATTAAAATTAAAATAAATGATTTGTAATGGTATATGCATGAGTGAATATACGCATAAAATGTATCACTCTATTCAATGTGTATGACAGACATACACGATTAATGTCAATATAAGAACGACTAGATCAACCTACCCACCCACACAGCCATTCAAATGTGTGTCATTATTTTACAGTAAGCCTAATCGTTCCATTTATGTTTTATAAAAAATCTCTGACAGTGAGTAGTAATTATAATTCCTTACCTCATTATTTCTAAAACCTTTATATCACTTTATAAGTAATCATTATTAAGATTTATCAACAAATCAGCACGCAAAATCCCAAGATGACCGTGCGATGCCACCGGGCGCCGTAAGATAATCGTACGATGACCGGACGGGACACGGCCGGGTAGGTACCGATGAATTTGGTTGAGAAAAAATCGCCAAGACATCGGCAACTTTTATCTCCGCGATAAAACTCTGCCGGCGCCCGTACGATGTCTAAAAATCGGCCGATGAGTGGCGATCATCGCCCGGCGCCCGTACGATGCCCGGGCTCGCCGGCCGATTTTGAACAAAATACTCATCGGCCGGGCGCCGTAGTAAAAATTGGAACTATGTGACCAAGGCATTAATCGTTGCATTTCCATTACTTGGAACCGATTTACGTTCAAATTGCTTTAACAATGTCAAATAACATTTACAGCAAAGTAATAATCATGACGCATGACAAATTTTTGCATTGCTGTGCGCGCATCAACTTTTTGTATCATACCATGACGAGTGCAACATTTTACAAGCTACGCAGAAAATTCACAGATAATTTATTGAATTGCTTGACGTGAAAACACTAGGTATATACTATATTTGAATAAAGGTCTCAGTAAAAGTCTATTTGTATTAACATTTAATGAAAAACAAAAATCGCATAATTCACCTTTCTAAAATCCAAAATCACAAACTTTGAGCGCTTAATTTAGGAATTTACAATGCAAAAACTTGAAATGCCAGACATGAATATATATCAAATGTAAAATGCACAAGTGTCTCCACAGTGTTCTACACAGTGGTGCATTTCTCCACGTATTTATAGCCAAATTCTGGTCCCGCTCCGACACCTCTATACCAACGCCAAAGCAAAGTTCATCGCCGCCATGGAACGCTGCGACAACGTCCGACACCGGCGTAAAATTGTCCCTTTTTCAACGCTCGCAATATTTTGAGCAGCTCAAAACTTTTGGAGCGTTAGGATGGCCACTCGAGAAACATCCGCGTTGGCCGAGCGTTTACAGCGTTGCTTTAACGGATGCCAACTTTTGTTAAACGGTGGTGAACGTTTACGAGCGTTGACCGGGCCTTTATGTCTGTAAAGTTCATTCACACACCGGACTACCCTGACAACGGTAAAGTCAGATACCGTTGTCATAAATGGCGGCCACAGGATCGTATTTGATTCGATTTTCATTAACTGCATGTTTAATAGAGCTCCATTGGTCAGTTGGTAGTACAATCAATCAAAGTGTCTTTCTTCTCATTACATAGTTAAATATGTTTTGCCATCGAAATAAAGCCTTCAATTTTCCTGATCAAAATATGGCACAGGACAACGTAATTCGGATCTATCCTTTCTCTGTGAATGATTTGAAATTCAGATTCCGTTGCCATTGACGATAGGGAAGACTGTATATTGTGGCGATTCAAGACCACATTAGATCGAAAGTGGGATTTCATATAATACACCATCACAAGAGCTTAATGCATACAGTACAGAAATCAGCGACAATAAGGTCACATAAAATGAGAATCAACAATTGATTAAAAGAGTTCAAGCAACGGTTACGCCCGCCATTTGTGACAACGGTATCTGACTTTACCGTTGTCAGGGTATTCCAGTGCGATACAGGGTCACTGGTGATAGTTGCCTTTAAGTTATTTTTCTTATCCAACACTTAGTTACATGTGTACCAACTTGCGTCCACGGAAGTTGCGAGAAACTTGGAAATGGGGAATATATTTGTAAATGTAACACTGGATTCAATGGCGTCGACTGCTCTCTTAGTAAGTAAAACTTGACAATCACCACGAACAAAATATGTTTTCAAAATGTTCCTAAAAATTAAACTCTGAATACTTAAAAGGCATAAGATAATATAGTTTACTCAAACCCCGTTCGTTGGAGTTATATCCTTTCTTATATATAATGTGTAAATGATCTTTTTAAATTTAAAGGCGAAATACTTGGACATTTTGTAAACCTTCTTACTTTCGTATCACGATTGTGTATTTTATTGTAGATGACCCGTGTGGCTGTGGCGAGGGCGGAGTCTGCGACTGCGCATCAAGCCCCTGTAAATGTAAATGCTTCCCCTTGTACTCTGGTGCAAAATGTCAGACAATTTTACCCTTGGACCCGTACGGTAAGCCACCAGTCATAAAGGATAACTTTTGTCTTACTCCATACTAAATTCGAGTGCTCACTAAATTCGAGTGCTCACATTAATACCAACCATTCTTGTAAATCTTTCCCCATGTGCTCTAGGACAAAATGCCAGACAGTTCTACCTTTGGAGACGCTCGGTATGCATAAGCCACCACCCATCATTTGGAGTTTATTTGAAAGAGGGGTGTATTAAAAAAGTGTTATAACCTCTTTTTGAAGGCCCATGGGTGTTTTTTGAGGGCCTCTAAATAAATGCCCAATGGGCGAAATATTCGAGGAAAGGATTCTTATTAGAATTGCTTAAAACGAAACGGTAGTAAGTGATTACTGTCGTACAAGTACTTATTTTGTTTTTGTAATATTTACAGTTTCTCCCTCTAACATTGGCTTTTCTACGAGCTATTTTGTTTGTTTGTGTCAACATGTCATTTGAGACTTCCATTTGCATCTTATTGGCACGGTTTAAATTATTATCAAAATTCTGTTGTACATACGATGTACAATTGCTAGGCCTAGTTTATCCTCTGTGTGCATGCGCGTCTCCTCTCGTTGGGAGCAGCCATACCGTATCAAGGTCAATTTAGAAATGAGTAACGAAAACGCCCACCCCCTTGATTTGGTAAAAAACTATTCCCCTTTTATAAAGGCCCATGCGAAATGAACGTCCAGTGGGTCTAATTGCGAGAAATTCAGACCAAAGTTCAATGAACCTCCACACAATTCGATCGTATATACGTATGGATATCAATTGGTATCCTATGGGTATCTAGTGTGTAAATGTAACACTTGATAATAATCATATTTCATGAATAAAAAATGCAAGCATTTCTATATTCCCAAAGGTAGCCTATCTAGGTGAAAAATATAGAAAGTACTTAAACTACTCAGTAGTGCATGCACCATAATATCTCTAGGCTGTCGTATTAGTGAGGAGATGCACACCAATAGGTTTTGGCAAAATACCATAATGACACACTATGCGACATTCGACAGAGGGCGTTATAACTTCCTTGGACGCTGTCTTTACGTACTGACGGAACCAAAGGACGCCGTTGAGCCCAAGTTTCAAATTGCTCTTCGCCAGAAGCTTCACGCGAAAGATGGGAGGAACCATACCTGGCCTGAATATATTGTGCTACATGTAAACGGTAGAGATGTTATAATTGGTCAGGAGAAGGCCGATGGGGAGGTTGATGTGAGGGTATGTATATTGTATACATGCCATCGACCAACAGTTCAATTCCCGAATATAAAGAATGTCTCAATCTTTTAGATGATTTATATAATATATATAGCCCAGAGGGCAATATAATTCTGTGCGGCGATTTCAATGCACATTTGTCCAGAGATATCTGCCCTAGAATACAAGGGACCAGTAATTATAGAGGTAAATTGATTGAAACATTCTTAACTGAAAATAATCTATTATCGATCAATTGTCAAACATTAGCAACAGGTCCTTGGTTTACGTACTACAACGATGCAGTGCAAACATGTATTGATCACATCTTTATCAAAAATGCAGGTATAGATTGTATAAAAAAATGTGTAGTCCTAGATGACCATCCACTGAACTTATCTGATCATCATCCCATTTACCTCGTAATGTCGCTTAATCAGTTACCATTGAAATATATAGCAGACAGCATCCCTAGGCCCAACTGGAACAAAGCCAGTGAACAACATCTACTCTTATATAAGAATTATATCGCAACTCGATTGAACCCCTGTTTAATTGAATGTGATACTGTTGACGACACAGAACAGCTCACCAATGAACTTACAAATATTCTGAGAAGTGCGTCAAAACTCCATCTACCGAAATCTAAATATAAGCCCTTTCTCAAGCCATATTGGAAATCGCATGAACTTAAACCACTGCATGATAACATGAGGCATGCGCGGCAAATATGGGTAGCAGCTGGTAAACCAAGGGGCAATCAGTTTGCCTCGTATTCCTCATACAAGCATGATAAAAGATTATTCTCTAATGCCTTAAGAATCGCCAAATTACATTACGAACGTGAATTATACAACGACCTTGAATCCGCTGCAGAAGTTGACATTAATACATTTTACAAAGCAGTGCGCAACACAACAAATGGACCGTCAACCTGCCACGAACTTAAAATTGGAAGTGAGATTATAAGGGACCCAGATAGAATACGAGATGAATGGGCAAATTATTTTGAAAATCTTGGGAAGCCCAAAAGTTACCCCAATTTTGATGACAATTTTAAAGCTAAAATCGAACACGACCTCAAACAAATGAAGCGCGAAAGTACACTTAATGAAGACATTTATCTAACCAACCCTATAACAGAAGATGAGGTAACAAAGGCGATGCAACATTTTAAAAATAATAAATCGCCTGGTCACGATCTTATAACAATTGAACACTTAAGACACGGTGGTCAGATAGTACTTAAGGCTCTCACGGCGATTTATAATGGCATCGTGCAATCCGAAAAGGTTCCCCCGAGTCACAAACTAGGAGTCATGATAGCCAGACATAAAGGGAAAAATAAGGATCCATTGATCAAAGAAAATCACAGAGGTCTCACACTTACGCCAATCATTAACAAAATATGGGACCGTATAGTTCTAGGGCGATGGACATTCTCACCGCATGAATATCAATTCGCATACCAAAAAGGAGCCGGGAGTCAAATGGCACAGTTTGTTCATCAGGAAACCATCTACCATTACATTGAAAGAGGCAGCAAGGTGCATGTTGCATATTTAGATAATAAATCTGCCTTTGACCTCCTGTGGCGCGAGGGTCTCTTCTACAAGCTATATCAGCTTGGAGTAAACGCTAAACTATGGCGCATTATAATAGACAGCTATAGTAACACACGTGCGTCCTTTTTATATAATGGTAAACTGTCACGACCCTTCCACATTGAGCAAGGTACGGGTCAAGGCCGAGTGATGAGTACCTGGTGGTTCCTTATCTTCATTAATGACCTTATAAAGGAACTCTGTGAATTTTCAACTTCGGGTCTATATGTAGGAAACACTTATATACCAACAATCTTGGTTGCTGATGACACTACCGTGATGTCAACAACAGTAAATGGTTTACAATGCTTATTGGATATCGTGTATAACTACAGTAGCAAATGGCGTCTTGTATACCATGCAGGATCAGACAGCAAGAGTAAAATAATTACATATCCTGAAACAAAGAAGTCAATTTTAAAGAACAAACTCACAAGACAATGGAAATTGGGACCAGACACAATCCCCGAAACAGATCAACACACATATATTGGCAATTTGATGGTGAGTGATCTGAGATCATCGGAACGAACGAAAATAGCTTGTAAAAAAGCCAAACAATCATTCCATGCTCTCAATAAAATTGGAATGAGAAACGGAGCCATGAATCCGCTAGCCTCGGTCAAAATATGGAAAACTGTCATAATCCCCTCTGCACTCTATGGTTCAGAACTATGGGGAAAATTAACCAAGTTTGAACTAAACAATCTTGAAATAACACAGAAATACGTAGTGAAAACTATCCAGGGATATGGCAAAAGGACTTCATCAGCAATAGTACTAAGTACCCTAGGTCTATGGACAATGGAAGCTCAGATTAACAAATCCAAATTATGCTTCCTTCACAGATTATGTACGTCAAATCCCAATTCCATCATAAAAACGATTCTACTGATCAGAATAAGTTCTTGGCTATTAAACATCTATGACACACATTTAGGGTTCATACCAGATATTATTGAAGTGTTGTCAAAGTATGAAGTACTTTATGAAATATTCTCAGGCTATCTTCAATCTTTTACATTCCCCTCGAAGGCCAAATGGAAAAGCTATGTGAATGCTCAAATCAATATTAACGAAACTGGAAACTGGCAACGCTTGCTCTCCAATAATACAAAATTAAACAGATTTGCGCAAATTCAGACTGAACTTAAACCAGCAATACATTGGGTAGCTGGCAGGAAATATCCTCTTAAAACATGGGCATTTGCAATACTTCTACATTTGGCTTCAAGGGAACTTCCAGATGACGATTTCAATACGCAATGTCTGAGGTGCGGTAGAACCACCAATGATACTGTCAAACACATGATAGTAGAATGTCAATTTTTAATTGCATTAAGAAATGAAATGTATGAAAATATTATAAATAGCATCTCTGTGCATCAGTCATGTGAACTCCTAAACAGTGAAGATGACATAATCCTAGAATTTCTCCTTGGAGGACGCTCCGATATTTTGCATACAATTGATGATGCCACATCAATAAAATTGCTTAACATATGTGCAACATACATCAATATGATGATGTACAGATTCACCAACACTTGTTTAGAATAATACTGCACAGGTAGTACAGATCATCTACCTATATTTTTAAAAGAAAGTCACACATCTGTACATACTATGATACTATAAATAGTTTTCTTATTATAATTTTATTTTGATATAATGTAAATTGCTGCTTATTAATGTTGTAAATCTTCATAATGAAGGAAATAAATCAATACAATACAATACAATACACATTTAGTGGTACCGTCTTTTCAAGACGCATAGGTGGCCCCTACAAACTCAATATGATAGACTTGAACATCCTCGATCACATTTAATGGTACCGTCTTTTCAAGACGCATAGGTGACCCCTATAACCCATGGTTGAGATTCAGCTGGCTGTTGTCCTTAAGGCCAACATTCACAATAACCATGCACCGGTGATGACGTTTTATATGTTCATATAAATTGACACAATTTCTGATCTCAGCACATGTCGTCATTGTAGATTGATGATCAACAAATCACTGCTATACCAAGCGAACACTCACTAGGTATAGTAAATGGTCACGCCCTCAAAGCACACGTAAAAGATGGTGTTCGAGTTGAAATTGTGCCATATGGAATTGGAATAGGTTTTGATGGGGAATCTGTTGCAAATGTGGATTTGAATAAATACTGGGAAAATAATGTAAGAGGTAAGTGACCTCCAGATGGGTCGATGCAACTTTTTATTGAACAGGATGACCTTGTAGATTGCAGCGTGTTATTTATGCAATACAATGTACGAATGTCATAATAAGTATTCGAACTTGACTGTATTTAAAGCCTTCTATAAACTGTGAATAAAGTCAATATTTCACCCGGTATTTATTCGTCGATACAACCCCTGGCAGTATGAGTCATAACGGCGGGCCGTAGTAATGGCGGGCCATAATGAATATTCAAAAATATTAAGTGAGTTTACATGTTCGAATCGTAATATAGAACTTAGATCAGTTATTGTATCGAGTAATGATTACCTGAGGACTAGGCACAAACGTTTTCGAACCCCTCACTCCCTTCAGGGGTGACATCCATATGCGCCATCATTTCAATCAAAAGTTATTTAAAAACACTTAGGTAAGTAGATATTAAAAACTAATGATCTCTTATATGCAAAACAACTTATAGGGATGTGCGGTGACTATGATGGTAAGATTTATGACGATTACGTAACAAAACAGGGATATGTCGTGAGACGTCGGGATGATAACAAGGGCACCCTTATAGGGAACAGTTGGAAAAAGGTTGACTCAGTTAAATATGACGAAGAGTAAGAGAATTTTATCAATCACGCGTGTCACTCGATTAAGATTAACTGTATGAAAGAAACGTTATGTTAACCTCATCTAACTATATATATTTCGTCACATCCTCCTATCGCAAACGCAACTATCCTAATTTTGCGCTTAAGATCTTGTTGGCCACTGATGATTGTACTTGTATTTGCAGAGCAAAAACGTGTAGAAACATCCCACTCCCTGCAGTTCCTGCATTAAGTGAATTACAAGATTGGGACGGTGAACTGTACGAAAAGGCAAAAACAACCTGTTCAAGCCTGTGTGGTTCCACGACAACAATTAGTTTTAGAAAATGCATTGCAAACTTCTTTTTCAGTGAAGACGTCGTCTCTAGTTGTTGATTATACTTTGTTGAGGGGTAATTCTAAACAAATCATTCAATATCACTTAGTTGCGAAATAAAGACTCTTTTAAAACAATCAATTAGATCTAAAATATCATCATCGAGATGTTGCACCGTTGTTACACGGGTGTTGTTACAGAAGTAAATGTGCAAACTCCTTCTCCAAATTTAAAAATATACCATAGTTGTATAAATAGATGGCAGCTACGTCGAAGTGATAAAATGCCATTTTTAGGGAAATGTCATGCTCAACAGGACTTACAAAGATAGCTAGTATCATCCTGTCTCTTGCACGCGTGATGTTTAGAGACAAACTTTTCCTTTAAATGTTACACAGACGGTGTTTAATTTAGTGACAACCATAGGCTCAATGGCTCGTGCAAATACCACCACATCAGAATGTTGATAAATAGGATGATATGGTAAATAATATTTGTGCCAAAGTGTCGTTTCATCTCATGCACACTAATGTCTGTTGTTGTTTTCATAATCTTCGCCCATCTCTCTGACGTACACGACAGTTTTCGTTTCTTTTCAACACCCGACTTTCCAATTGTATATCAAAATGTGCCATACGAATCAGTTTTGACTGCAAAGGAATATAAGTCGTATACCCTCTGTATATTGAAAAAAGTGCATAGTGCTTTACCAATCATTTCTTCATATATTCTGCATTATCCTACACTTATTGTACTATATGTATAATAACATAAAAAATAGATTTGATATCTATTTGAAAAATAAATAACCGGACGATATCGCTACGATATACTCCGGAAAACCAATATGCGGCTCCAGGATATCGTGACGATAGACTCCGCTTGTTTATTTCCTGACAAATTCAACTATTTGACATGAAATTTATTTTTCATTGATATTAAACATTTAGTACACTACTAGTAAGTGTAGGATAATAAGGACATCCTATGCCTTTTTCAGAATATCATTTTAATCTGCTCGGTGATCTTGATATATGCACTCGTTCGCTTAGCTCTCTCGTGCAGATATCAATATCACCTCGTAGATAAAAATGATATTCCTCAAAATCATAGTATATCCTTTAATTATCATACCAAAAATTCAGAGGTACAATGAATGTTTGCTTTGACCAAATGGAGAAAATTCCAAAGGATTTTGTAAATATGGAAATAATTCACGAAATCGTTAGCAGGTTTTCCACCAGATGTTCACAATATTTACACGACTATACCTCCAAGAGTTAATTAATATTATACAAAATATATACTGAAAATGTTTTGATTGATTAAGGACCATGCATTTTTTATTTATAGAGGGTATGGATTAAATTCACTGTTTCACGTTGACAAATAAAAATAGATTATATAAAATTGCCACACAGGGTTTCATTAATAAAGAGTTTCCTTTAGTCAAAATTAGCCATCTATCTGAAACATGTACGAGTCTTTCAATATAACTTTTATGAGCTAGAAAAAGCAGGATTGGGTGTTCAGAAACAGAAACACCTATGTGTGTTGATGGTAATCCGTGACCGATATGAACTAACAATACCACGCTTTGATAGTTCTATTGCCAGCAATTCCAATGTATAATTACTTTCAACTTATCTGCTGTACAGTTTCTACATCGGATTAACATTAATTGTAAAACGATTGTGATGTAATACCGCTGTGTCAATTAAAACATACCAAAGTAGGCCTATGTAAACATATCTGTAAATATACAATGTCGGCGAGGTAAACAGTAAACACATTGCGGCTAAAATAGATTTTTATGCACTTCTTGATATCAGTTCCGACAAATATAGGGACAGTTGTGTTTTATGATATGCATTGGGTTCCACATTATTCAATCTTATCGTCATTTGACAGGTTTATCTACAAAGCCATGTGTAGCGACAGACTGCTCACGTATGAAGCCCAATTCTAGAATTTACCACAACTGCCATTTAATTAACATGCTCCAGTTGGAACAGCATGATGTAATCTTAGTGTTCTCTGTTGTTAGAACTACAAAACGTATGAATGAATGCTTATTTTGGGATGCACTATGCACAGCCGTGCTTTCTCTTGGGACTGTTACGTACTCCTTCTGAAGTATTAGATAAATCGGAATGGTGCATACTCATTTATTTTAATTTACCCCATTATTAAGGTAAATTTATTAACCCTAATCATATTCCACAATACAATTCTTCCATGGTCAATGAAGACTGAAAGTAGGCTAAAACCATAAGAATATGCATTTTTGCCGGATAAAATCCTTCGTGGATTTTCTTTCATGAAATAATTATAGCCTGCAAAATATAAGATATAGCACCAATATATAATACGGATAACAAGACCTCTTCATACCGTTGGTATTTTAGGATCCACTTTGCGCTGTCATACCGCAGAGTTCGCTGATCCACCTATAACCTCAGCTATACTACAGTCGCGTAAACTCTCATGGTATCATGAGGTATAGCAAGTACCCGCGCCCAGTAACTCTCATTAGAATTCATATTTGATGGGAGAATTTAATCCATATGTACTATAATCATGATATTCTTGCCTGCATCATGAACTATGCATGCGCAGTAATTCACGATGCATAAATATTTAAGGATTCCAAGTAAATATAGATACATGTGTAAGTTATTGGAATTTCTAGCGGTCGGCAATATATGATCCAATTGGGGAGTATTAGATTGATCACAGTGGGGCATAGAATCACCCTCTGAGGATAAGAGAATCAATCTAAGTGGA